TTGCAGATTTAGTGCAGAGAGGAGCGTTTGCAAAGAATATTTTAGCATTAAAAACACCCACATCCACATTGTTTCCTTTGCTTGTCAGCTTTGTAAATCACGAGAAGTTACTGAATAATAAGCATTGTGTCCACGTGGAGTCTTATGTTTTTGGCTTCATTCAGGTCACATCTAAGGAAGTTTTCATTCTCGCTAGAAATATAACGGATTGCCGGGACAGTAAATATGCTTGCAGATTTTCTTTTGTAAAAAAAAGGGGAAAACAATAAATTTTATAATAGATGAATAATATTTCACAGTTTCACCTTCTACAAGTACAGACGCATCCATTGTGTGAGTGAACAATGCTGGTGTTGTCATTGACTAAACAATTATTCTCCGTCTAACTGGCTTGAACGACAGATATAGTTAAAAAGTGTTTTACAAATGTTTGATATCAGCTCATTTATTGGAGAATGAGCAATGGGGACAGTGATTTTAGTCTTTTAAAGTCCAGTTTATAAATAAGATTATATATTGTCCACGTATATGTTTATGCATTTAGCAGATGCATTTAGTAGACACAATGTTACAGTTATCATCACTATCTCAATAAGTTCTCTAGAGGAAAATTCCTAGTCAGAATCAGTGGTGACAGCAAAGAGGGAAGTGCAGAAAGGGTAGTTGAGTGGTACAGAGGTGTAGGTAAGAATTAGGATAGGAGATGCTCTTTAAAGAGGTTGGTCTTTAGGAGTTGAAAATAGACAGGGATGCTGCTGTTCTTGGAACAACCCATGAAAACAGTCTGGATTTTCCTAAGTGTGGTGTAGGCACTGCTAAAAGACAATCCATTGCTGAATGGATTTACTGAGTTGTGACATAAGCCTTTGCCAAAGGGTTCAATAGACGGGAGCCGTACCCTTAAGCACTTTGTAGGCTAGCATCAGCGACTTGTATTTGATGTGGGCAGCCAGGGGTAACTAACCTTGCAGGAGCCAGATAGAAGATATGTGTAGAACTGAGTTGAGTTCTGGAATGGCTGGTGCTGTGAAAAGGAGGGACGTCTACTAGCATACTTGGAGCTGATAGGGTGACGTCCCAGCTAGTACTGGCATTCCATAATACGCTTTCAGCCAATCACAGCAGCGAATCGTGACGTTTCAGACGTGCACCAGGAATGACAGGTGGTTTACTGAAATGTAGGCCATTGTTGGAAGTTTACAGAGAAGTCATCATGTCATCGTGCAATGATTTATGTAGAATTTGCAAGAAAAACCTCTGCATAAAAGGCTTACAGCGTAAGGTTAGTATCGACAGGTGAGTCCTCCAGCATAGCCACGTTTGTAATGCCCCAGCAAGGCCATTCTGACTGTCGTAATTCCGACATGTCCTGCCCCAAAAAAAACTGCTTGGATGTCATTGGCCCAACGCACTGGTTGTTACGAGATGGACTTATTAGTGTTGTGAGACTAAAAACTCAGATCTCGTGACAAGCAGAGCAAGGTGATGTGAGACAATTTGGCCCACCTTGACTATAATAGTCAAGGTGGGACACAACCACAGACTGCACCAGGAGCTGGGTAGCATGTTGGATTAGGAATGGCCAGATCTTTCTTATGGTAGTAGTGTCAAGCAACAAGATCGAGAAACAGAGGTAACATCATCTTAAAAGTTCAGCTGGTCATCAGTCATTATACCCAAGTTTCTTGCTGCCTTTAATCTGTCTTTGATTTAGTCAAAGACAGTGATCCAGTCTGGGTATAGTCTGGCATATGAAAGCCTTATTTCCAATTTTCTGAGCAAACCTCCTTGTTTGACTCCAACCTGTTACCTCGAACTGTTGGATTATATTAATTTCTTTGCTCCTTCCTTTTTTTTTCTTTTTTTTACCAGTTTTCTCTGCAGTCCTTGTATCTGACCGTGGCAGCACTGGTTCAGTGTTTGCTTAAAGAATTAGAAGAATGGACAAGTGAAGGACAAAAGAGCTAACACAGTATCATAATCATGTTGTTTGCACAACGAGAGACCTGTAACTAAACCTAGACAGAGTGCCGAGTTTTCAGCTAATAGATGTTTTCGAATCACTTTGGTTGAAATAAAATACTGTTTACATATGAAACCATGATTTTTCTGGCATTAGTCATAATTCCAATAAACAAAGTTAGGAACAAATTGTCTTTGTGGCAGACTTCCATAATAAATTGCCTAAAGATTTTATTTGATGTTCTGCTTAGTGTGTTGATTGTAGATTATTATAAATGCTTAAAGACTAAATCTCTTATAAAGTCTTAGAAAAATAAGAGGTTCAAATAAACCTCCCCAGAGGCAAATAGTAAATAAATTAAGAATGAGTTTTACAAAATGCCGTCTACTATAACATTTCTGACCAATACTGTGCATTTTTTTTCTCCCAAATAAGGTGTTTTGAAAAGAAAATGCTAAACGCTTCAGAACTGTACTATTGCGAAATTAGAACATTAAATAGAAGAGTTTGAAATGGCATCTGCAAAAAAAAAGCCAACAGACAAGATAACAATGTACAGATCTTTATATCTATTCTAGAAGCTGATCAGAGGGATGAGTAAAGAGCAATGATGGAGTTCACATGAGTGACAGGATCTTACTTTTTAATTCTGCTTGTGTGTTTGCACAGAGGGTTGGTGTGGACGACAGTGCTTTGTTAAATATAGCTCACTAACACACACTTACACTGCTGGCGCTCTTAAAATGCTTCCTCTGCACTTAAATCCTGGTATTCCACAAGGGGAAGAGTTCGGTCTGTTTGTTTTATCTGTGCGAGTGTGTGTCTGTCATGGGCACGTCTCATGGGGGGTCCTGTCTCAGATCCCTTAAACGCTTGCACCTCTTTCACTCCTCTCATCCTCGTTCCCACGCTAACCAGACACACATCTTGAATATATTGTTACCGTAGCCTGTTTATCACCTAATGTACTGTTTACAATGTAAAAACACAATTAACTGAAAAACAATGTAATGTAAAATAATTTTCCTTCTGCTATTTAGAAGCATTTTCTATGGATTACACAGTAAAAAATAAAGATTTTCTGTCTGTAAAATCTGAAAATATGAAAGACATATAAAATTTAGTAGTGTTTGGTTTGGTGTAATGCCACTGCCCAGCCTTTTTTTAGACATAACACTGCATTTTAAGGCATATTTTAAGTCTTTGTAGTTTTTAGTAGTGTTATTACTACAGTAACACCCGGTGCCTTGTAATTATACAGATATAATTCAGTGTATTTTAGTGGTTTTACGTGATAGAGCAACACAAAGTCCAACATTGTGAAGGGAAGGAGGAAATGTCCATATGGTTTATATTCATAAAAATGTGAGGAGCATTTGCATTCAACTCTTCTGAGTCAGACCTTGTTAAACCACATTCTGCTATAATTAAAGCGCCATGTCTCTAAAGGCTTTGCCCATCAAATAAACTGAAATGTTTCTGCATCCCTTTTACATGTTTCTAGGTTTTGTTGTTTGTTGTGATTTTCTGGACTTTGACTAGGCCATTACAATAAAAGCTGTTGAGGGGTGTCCTCGCTATTTCCTCTGCAAGCAGACAGAGCTATGTGTGTTAAAACACCAGATTATTTAATCCTCTACTTCTCCTTTATCCTGTGGGGTTCTACAGGGCTCAGTCGTAGGTCTCCTTCTTTGCTCCTTCTGTTTGCCCCTATTGTCAGGGTTCCTGTGTGTTAGTGAGTGCGAGTTATGCATCTTCATTCAGAGAGGATCTTTGGGGAGAACCTGCATAGCCTACACAGGTGAAGATAATGTTCTTAATCAGAGTGCTGGACTTTATAGAGCAGCAGAGCCTTTACTCAGGGTTGGTTTCTTGTGTGTAGTAGAAGTTTGTCATTTCCTTCTAGTCTCTAGTTTCTTCTCAAGTATTTTCCCCTTACGTTGTTGGTTTTTGTTTGGTTTTCAGTATTTTTGTATTTTTTCCTCTGTTCCCTTCGGACTTTTATTAAATTATCTAAACTCATCCGTGCCAACTCCTCTCTGTATTTGGGTCCTCAAAACCTCCACACAACCTGACACCTATGGGTTCTATACTTTAAAAGTGTAGGAGTGATTTTCATTGTGATGCCGGCAACAGTCAAGTGAATGATTTATTGTTATTTTTAAACGTTGTGTTCTTAATATTTTGTATAATATTTTTACTTTATTATGTGCAGCACTGTTGCAGCCTTGGTTACTTTAAAATAGATAAATAAGGTAGTAGGTAGGGTGTGTTGTGTCACAGTTTTAGACCAAACATACCGGTATAATTTTTTTCATCATCTATTCAGAGCACATTTACTTTAACCTGTGAATAAACCTAATGGGACTCTTTATGATCATCTCAGTACAAGCAGTGAGTTAATTTTACCCAATGGAACCTTCATGCTAAATAGGTGCCTTCTCAAGCCATTGTGTTGCACTGGGTACAGTGTTGGTAAAATAGCAGTGTTCTCAAAGAACATGTTAGACATATCTGCAGATTTAAGGAGTGTTTATTTTTTTAAAATGTGTCGTTATTGTCCCTCCACTCCACAGTTACACTCTGCTTTCTCTCAGCAGCTTAATTTTAATTAAATGCATTGATGTTTAAGGTAATAACACCACAAAATAATAACTCCAAATGTTATTAAACATCAAACAAGCCCTTTGAGTAATCACTCGAGGATGTTTTGGTACTGGTTGCATTTGAATTCAGTACCAAAATGATTTCCTGTATCCCAATGTTTTATCACTTTTTGATGAGTAATGGTTAACATCTCTGGCATCCATAGTCCACTAACTCTGTAAACTTCACTCATTACTTTGTACCATTGATGGTTGTAATTGATTGTTTGTACTTTCCACATTGAAGTGTCTTTCAAGTCTGTGTTTCACCTTCTTCCAACCATATCTGCATGCCTTTCTCTTTCCTCGACTATTAAACTAACCATTATTACTGTTTTTTTTTTCCATTTTTATTTGTATTAATTAAATATTTTTTTCTGCCCTTCCTATAGATTCTCTCTCCTCTCCTGGACCTGCATCAGAACCGCAATAAACTGAAGCTGTACATAAGTCACCTGACCTCTCTGTGTCAGGAGCGAGATCCAATCATATTGCAGGACTTTGCCCCGCCCCCAGCTTATCACCGCTCTGACTCCGCCTCTTGGCACACGCAGCTGCACAGCATGACGGAGGAGCAGGTGACAGAGTTTGTTTTTCTTTTTGCATCATTGTTTATCTTTCTTTCTATGTACAGTGATTGAAAATAAGTATTTGAACACTCTGCTATTTGGCAAGTTCCCCCACATAGAAATCAAGGAAGGGTCTGAAATGTCATCGTAGGTGCATGTCCACTGTGAGAGACATAATTTAGAAAATATCCAGAAATCACAATGTATGATTTTCTAACTATTTATTTGTATGATACAGTTGCAAATCATTATTTAAACGCCTGAGAAATTCCATGTTAATATTCGGTACAGTAGCCTTTGTTTGCAATTAAAGAGGTCAAATATTTCCTGTAGTTTTTCACCAGGTTTGCACACATTGGTGAGTGTAGGCCTAGTGGTTAGAGCAGTGTGCTTGGGCTCTGAGAAGGTTGCAAGTACCCGCTTCGACTCCCGCAGCCTGCACTCTGGGTCCCTGAGCAAGTGCCTTAACCCCAAACTGCTCCCTGGGCGGCACACAATGGCAGCCCTCTGCTCCCCTAGGGGATGGGTTAAATGCAGAGTTAATTACGTTGCTTTGTACTTAACAATAAAGTTGAATTCTATTCTATTTTACAATGCAGGATGGATTTTGGCCCACTCTTCCATATAGATCTTCTCTAGATCAGTCAGGTTTCTGGGCTGTCAGAGAAACACAGAGTTTGAGCTCCCTCCAAAGATTCTGTATTGGGTTTAGGTCTAGAGACTGGCTAGCCCATGCCAGAACCTTGATATGCCTCTTCTAGAGCTACTCCTTGGTTATCCTGGCTTTATATTTCAGGTTATACAGTTCAGTCGGACCGTCACGTGCAAAAAAATACCTCCAAAGCATGATGCTACCACCTCCATGCTTTTCAGTAGGGATGGTGTTCTTGGGAAGCTACTCATCGTTGTTCTAACTATTATGGTCTCACCTGATCTCATGGCTTTCTCCCATGACTCCTCTGGATCATTCAAATGGTCAGTGACAAACGGGCCTTGATGTGCTGATTTAAGCAGGGGAACCTTCTGTGCCATACATGATTTCAAACCATGATGTCTTAGTGTATTACCAACAGTAACCATGGAAACTGGGGTCCCAGCTCATTTTCAGGTCATTGACCAGCTCCTCCTGTGTAGTTCTGGGCTGATTTCTCACCTTTCTTAGGATCCTTGAGACCCCACGAGGTGAAATCTTACATGGAGCCCCAGTCCGAGGGAGATTGACAGTCATGTTTAGTTTCTTCCATTTTCTAATGATTGCTCCAAAGGTGCACCAAGCTGCTTGGCAATTTCCCTACCGCCCTTTTCAACCTTGTGGAGGCGTGCAATTTAGTCTTTGGCGTCTCTGGACAGCTCTTTGGTCGTTGCCATGTTAGCAGTTGGATTCTTACTGATTGTATTGGGCGGACAAGTGTCTTTATGTAGCTAACGACCTCCAACAGGTGCATCTAATTTAGGATAATAAATAGAGTGGATGTGGACATTTTGAAGGCAGACTAACAGGACTTTGAGTGTTAGGATTCTAGCTCATAGACAGGTGTTCAAATACGTATTTGCAGCTGTAACACACAAATACATAGTTAAAAAAATCTTATATTGTGATTTATGGATTTTTCTCTTCTTCATGTCATGTTTTTTGATCTCTGTCACAGTGGACATGCACCTACGATGACAATTTCAGACCCTTCCATGATTTCTAAGTGGAAGATCTTGTAAAATAGCAGGGTGTTCAAATACTTATTTTCCTCCCTGTATCTGAGGTTTTTAGGCTAATTATTACCCAGAACCTGGATCAAATTCACCACTTCTTCAGGTTCTAAAACTAGTCTGAGTGTGTCTGAGTTCTTTTTGTTGACATATGAATTTTGGCATGCGTATGAGTGAGATTCAAGGCCCACACTGGCTGGCTTGGGAGGTTTTCTGGCAATAGTTTTGACGTTTCTGAAATATTTACTCCAACGGGTCTCTTGTTGACAAGCAACTGGCTGCAGAACAAATACTGGATAAGACATTTATCTGACCGTACAGTGCAGGGATTGAACTCTACTTCAGGTTTCTGACAGGATGAGGAAGGTGGGTTCATGTGCACCGCAGCAAGACAGTGGAAGAGGTTCTGTTTTGCTGAAGAAATCAAGGCAGAATTGGGGCTCAGGGAAATGCCTACATGTTGTTTCATTATCATGGTTACCACTTGTGTTTTCAGGCTTTCAATATAAACAGTGCATTATTCAATTAAACAAATTGGGTCTGTCTAAGGCTTCCTCTTTCTCCATATTGAAAACATATCAGCTAAAACATGGTTGCTACATGTGGTACGCATTGAAACCGGTAACTATAGACGCAGACACACTTGCAGAGCTCAGTAACAAAGTGTGCGGTTTGGTTACCAGTTTCCTACAGTCTCCATGAAAGCCTTATTGTACGTCTCAGTGCTGAGAAACGTCTCTGTTTAGCAGGAGCGCTTCACATATGGAGCGGCTCGGTTTCCTGTCGCTTTGAATAAACTTGGAAAATACAGAATCAAGCTGTCATTTTATCCCAATGCATATAAAACAATCCGAGGGACTTTCTCAGACAGAGAAAACATAATGCATATTTTTCATCATCAGCCTGAAATGCAGACTTTATTTTGCGGTCAGGAGGCCAGACATTAGCTTTCAAATGCAAAAGCGCGCTCTATTAAAACTGATTATGTGGGCAGCTGTTAAAGCTTATCTAAGAAGGAATGCAGCCTGCAGTGTATTATTTTCAGAGAGAACCGAAAAATATTTGATCCATAACAGTTCTCATGGTTACAAACCAGCCAAATGTACAGCTGGGATGAAAAATGATCCTAACTAACTTTCTAATAAATCGACCCAACTTCATTGCCTTTTCATTTTCTAAATTGTACTCTTAGGGCCGGATTTATCAAGATCCAATTTTGCGTGCAGTAATTTGCGCTCGCAAACTGGAATTTTGCGCGAGGGGCTGAACCATGGTTTGCGGGTGATTTAACAAGAGTATTTGCGTAACTGGTGGCAGGTGCAAAACTGTTGGAGACGCCCTATTTAAATGATGGTTTTGCGCGTTTTGTGGTTTGCGGCAAAGTAGTTTGTAGTATGTACAAACAAGTGCATTAGGAAATTTAAATCTTACAGTGACCCCCAACAAAAAAAATAAATAAGTAAGTAAATAAATAAATAAATATATATATATATATATATATATATATATATATATAAATTGGCAACCTTTATTCCCTAAGGTGGTATGTGCTGCAGTAAAAAAAACAACAACAAAAAAACAGGTGTTTTGTATTGGCCTGTGACTGTGGATGAGATCCCCGCAGCATTTGGCACGTTGCTCCACAGGCGCAGGGGGAGAACCCCGACCCCGTCGGACAGCACTTCTGAAAAAACGAGATTGGGAGATCCCAGCTCTCGCTGCAACCGTACGCTGGAATGACCCAGATGCAAAAAAGTGCAATGTTGCAAGGAGTTTTGTGATATCTGGTATTGCGTGGGTCCTCCTTGTGGCTGGCTCCAAATCCATTCTGAGTTCCCCCAACAGCTCCAAAATGGCAATGCTGGATAAACGACATGTTTTGATGATCGTTTCCTCCTTCATTGCAAAAATATTCACACGGAGTGAAAAAATGCGTTCTCTGCGTCTCCTTGCTCCATTTCGATGTCTCCTTCTTGCGACAATAACCGCTGCCATGTGTGCGCAATTACGCATACAGACCATTTGCACCTTCTTTTGAAACGTGTTAAATATAGAGTCAGATACCGTTAGCAAAATTGCGTTCAGGTTTGATAAATCACTTTGCGAGTGCTAAATTAATATATTTACATGTTCTCCTCCCACAAGACGCACTTTAGCGTGTAAACGCCCCATATTGCATATTCATTGCAGAAAAAGTACTAAATGGATAAGAGGCGCTATTTAGCACGTTTTAAAGACCAAATCCTTTTAGCACGCTGTTGATAGATCAGTTTGTACATTTTTTAGCGTGCGCAGTGAAATAGCTCACGTTTTAATACACGCAAACCTTTGATAGATCCGGCCCTTAGTAAGAAGCCCTGCTTTATCACACAACAATCAGCAATGGATAATAAATATTCTTTTCTGTTGAACTTTTCCACTTTTTTCACATTACAGGCACAAAAAATAATTGAACTGTGATTTTCTATTAAACCAAAACAAATAGAAAGATGATAATCAGCATTTTTATTCAGCCCCATTTAATCTGATACCTGCAAATTAAAATAGCCTTTGATTCAATCTAATCATCACTATATCCAGCTGTTTAGATTATTAAAGAGAGTTATGAAGCATCATGATTAGCAAATAATTCAGCAGACAGCTGAAAAAAAGACAGGTTTAGGAGTTTTAGAGAAGTTAATAACATTAAAATGATATCTTCAGGTTTGAAATCTTACTATTCTGGTGATTTGTTAAATTTGTCTGAGTGACTGAAGTGACGTTACATTAAAACCTCTAGATGAAGAGCAGGGATCTAACCGCTAATAGACATGTATAGAGAAAGTGTTTTATTTTGTCTGTTTTTTAATGCACTGCTGGAAGAGGTTTAATGAGTCAGACTATGTCTGACTCATTAAACCTCCTAATACTTTCATTACATTCTGTGAGTGGAGGCCATATTGGATTCAGCATTCTCAACCTGGTTCTAGATTGATTGACTAACTTTATTGATCTCACAGTAGATATTTACTTGTTAAATCAGCTCAAATGGTCAAAGAAGAGGAATGTGCCAAAGGAAGAAACGGGTGCATTGAATATATATACAGTATATACAGTGCGTCCACATATGAGTTTTTTTTTTTGTTTTTGTTTTTTATAGTAGGATCAATATACAGGGTTATTGCAAAGGGTGTTTATTCTGGTATTTATATGGATGGATATATATATATTTTTTCTCTTATGCCCCAGTTCTGCCCTTCTTTGTGTTCATATGTCGCATATAAATCTAATGAAATACATCAACTCCTATGGTACAAAATCTAGAA